GTCCAGTCCTATTAAGCAAAGGATTCAGCACAGAAGGAAAGTTCTATACAAAGCAAGTTCTACGTAGGAAATATTATACAATAGAAAGAACTCTATTTGTAAAGAAAGTCATGTATGGGAAGAATTGGAGGATAAGTAACGCGAGTCCTACCATAATTCTACCAACTTTTGTGCATAAATAGAGGCCTAGACCTCCAATAAAGGATCCAAGCAATTCTATTATTCTCTATACATTGTTCTTGTTTATTTTTACTATTCTTGAGTGTGTTGTATTATTTTTCTCAATCGTTATTGGTTGAGCGAAATTTTGCACCTACACTTTGGCGCCGTCTGTGGGAACGTGTGCAAATATATTCCCTCTCTTATTTCACAGGTGAATCCTGCAACTACCATCCGGAATGTCGAACGGAGGATCTTCAACAGATCAACAGACGGAGTTGATGCAGAAGATGCGTGAAGAGTTTCTACACCAGTTTGACATACTTCGTCAAACAAACGAAGCTAGCGTGACTCAGATCGCCTTGCTTCAACAGTAGAATAATACTCTGCTCAGTTAGCACCACCGCCACCACTAGGTGACACAACAGCATCCCCTAATCAGAATATTCCTCCAGTTACGACCCAACGAGGCTCAGCAACAACAAAGGCCAATGTCCGAAGTTGTTGCTTCAGACAACGTCCCTCGTTGCACGCAGGACGAGCAAGTTAAGTCTAGCCACAAGCTCACGGTGTGGTCCAATGGAATTCCAGATAGCGCAGGTGTTTAGGATGCCTTTGATGAGAAAAGACTCCTAAAGATCCAGACACCTGCTGAGATGGCTAGAGAGCACAAAAAATCCCTGGTCAAAACTCCTTTCACTGACGATGTGTATATGGTTGAGAGGCCTAAGAAATTTACCATGCCTTATTTTACTCAGTTTGACGGTACGGGAGATCCTTCTCGACACCTAGATCATTACGCCCAAAAGATGGCTTTGGATGACCGTAATGACCCTTGGATGTGCAGAGTTTTTCCTACCAGCTTGACAGGAGCAGCACTAGAGTGGTTCAGGAATAGGCCACATAAGTCCATCCTGGATTACGTAACTCTGTGCACCATGTTCCTAGGACAATACTGTGGAAATAAGAAGCAAAAGAAGAGTATTGCTAACCTCTTCACCGTAAGGCAAAATGTGATACCCCTCGATTCTAGAGCCACGGGTGATCAAGTCCGGGCATAGATCCGAGGAATACCAAACAATCAATATGTAATTGAACACAGAATATAAAAAAAATGAAATAAGATAAAATAATAATAAGCTGATAAGAATTCTAAATACGAAAAATCCTTCAAATAAAATTTTAATATAATTTAAACTTTCCAATCCTTACAACTCAGGAATCCACCAAGTGGACCCCTAATAATCCTCAACTGTAAATGAAATACAGAATTAAAACCCAAGACTAAAATAAGAAAGAAACTCCTATATAGTCGGAAAAGTGAGTGTCTGTATCTGCATCACCACGATCAAGCCCTAAGCCTGTACTCACGAACACCTGAAAAATAAGGGTGGGTTAGGCCCACATGCAAGTTCCATACTACTACAATCCATACATAAACCCGATACGCAGATACATCCTAGATAGCTCGGCAATAACTAAAATAGTCCATATAGATATAGATACACACTATAGGACGCTCATTAGTCCAATAGGTCTGTCTCAGCCTGAGTAGAGATACCATGCAAATCGCACATACTGTGGTCATGTGTATCTAGACCTACCAGGGAACAACACCTATGTCCAGTTATCCATCCTAGGCGATATACGCACCCTAACCATGGTCCTGAGAGTTAAGCTTATACCATGGCACCATAATGATATGTATATAAAGTCCGTATACTCCTAATACAAAATATCATCTATCTTTTGTAGTGGTCTGATATAAATATAACAATCCATCCAGAAACCAAAGTAAGTTATCCAATTCATAATTGATATGACACAAATATGAGTGGGACTGAACCTTTATGGTAAATTCACACCTCAATCCAGAATAGGTAGGTTATAGTGTTTGAACTAATCCATACCTAGTATGCCACCGTCCCATACCGGTGCATACCATCCTCCATCCAATATAGTTGACAAATTAATAATAAATATTCATCAACCATACTCCAAAATAAACATAAATACAGTCTATTATATGTATGACCAAATTATGCATCCAGTATATGATTATAATCATAAAACTTCCATTTAAATTGTTAACGCATTGATAGACAATTTAAACCATCCATATCCATCCAATTGATAAAATAGAAATTTCAATAGTTCATCAATTAACACCCACACCATGGTATAATGACTATCAAAAATATGAACTGAGCACATTATACTAGACATCCCTAACCATACCCTCGTACTAGTTCATTTAAATTATTAAAACAAAGACCAGTAATGAAAATCCTCCTTAATCCCTGACGGCATGAAAATTATCGTTTCATTACATGACGTCCTTTTTAATCCTCCATGTTAAAACCTGTGCTTGACATAATATGTCAACTAAGAAGTCTCACAACACATTATATACAACCCCAATGGTATTTTATACTTACCAAAATAAACTGGTTAAAACAAACCCGCAAATAAAAACTCATCCACTTCTGACAGCATGCAACAATGTATTTAAATTACATGACGTCCACAACCACAACCCAACCAACCCTCATGGAACTTAAATATATCACAAATATCTTTGGTACAACATCCCTAAAATATCTTTCAATTCAATCCATTCAATTGGCTAACTAAACTAGAAATTTAAGACTTTCTCCTTCCTGGACAACATGCACATTAATTTTTTTAAAAAAATTCATGATGTCCATTTATATTAACACACTAGCATATACTAACTAATTTATGGTTTTAATAGGTTAATTTTAAACATCTAAAACCCCACACCATTTTCCATTAATTTCATTTAAGCCCCTGAAATCAGAAAAACTACAAAAACGCACTTACTGTGCATTACCAAAAGTGGAGCCGGCTCCATTATATTTTGGAGCCTGCTCTATCCTCTTGGAGCTGGCTCCAAAATAGTTTAGAGCCTACTCCATCTCAATGGAGCCAACTCCTTTGAAGAATGGAGCCTGCTCCATTATCTGAACCTCCGTCTTCTTCAATTCCGGACACTTTCTGACTTTCCGGTTGCCCCTGTTCAAGTTCATAACCCACTGTTTTAAGTTCCAGACCATCCCAACTCATTATAAGAAGTAATTTTGCATTACTACATGATTCAAAACAAGTGTACATTCAAGAGAAATCATGGTTAAAACAGGTACATAATCTAACCGTAAAAGCAGTCCCAAAACAAATTCAATTTCATGCAATTAAATTCCTTTAAATTCAAGCACATTAATTAAATAAATTTTACTGTCCGTTTAAGTCCTAACAATCCTAGAAGCTTCTCCAATTCCAATATGAATTAATTGACAAAACATAAACCATAAACGAAACAGTTTATGCTTCCCCTGTTTGCCCTCTCTGCTACCGGCGAACTTCATCCTTCGGTTCTGAATTTTTTTTTTAAAAGTTTACAAGGTTCAATCAGAGTCCAAACAACCCTAGAAGCCCTTCATGTTTCATGTTCCAATGTAAATCAATTGACAAAAATCTAAACCGAAAACAACACAATTAATGCAAGAGAACTGAAACCAGTTAATTAAACGTGCAACAGGTTACAGTCTGATAATATTGTATCAACCTTCCATTTTAAAGTTAAATTAATTTCCTGGAGACCATATAGAATGCACAGAATACAAGTTTACAGGAAGGAAATAGAATGAAACTTGCCTTTAGGTTTCGGTTTGAAACCTTACAACGTCGTCTATGGAGTTTCCGACGAACAGACGACCGGCAACCTTCCTACTGCTCAGTTCCAATACCCCAATCCATCCACTCCTTCCTCCTTGATACGACCTTCAGGTTACGGTTGAACTCCTAACTGGTGGCCCATATAGTTTCCTCTCAAAACCATTATGTGTGCCTCTGTTTTCTCTCTCTCAAGAATTCTTACGTGCATAGGTTTGTTTTTAACCCTAGCAGACTTGTAAAGTTAAATATATAGGCTACCATAAAAACTTAACCCTAATTCCAACCTCCTATAAGTCAGCACCCATAATTACATAATCGTAACACCCTAAACCTAATTAATTAATTACACATAAAACAAATAAGGAAAGTAAATAAATAATCACTCAAAACACATAAATAAATTGAAGACAATAAATAATGAAATACATACCCACTATTCACAATTAAACAATATTAATTTAAATACACACTATTAATCACTTAAAAAAAATAAAACAACTAAATCACATAATTAAATCAATTAATCAATAAATAAATAAAAATCCCAATTTTATCCATAAATAAAAATCCCAATTTTATCCATAAATAAAACTAGGGGTATTACACAAAAGAAGGGGGAAGCATTGCAGGATTTCTTATTTAGATTCAACATGGAAGCCTCAGAAATAGCAGACTGTCATCCCGCAACTGCTATAGAAACATTTAAACTTGCAATGATTCAGGGGACGAAGTTTCACACTTCTTTGGTCAAATATTCTCCTCCCGACATGCAGACTCTCAATGCCAAGGCCCAGATCTACATTCGGCTCGAGGAAAATGTAGCCCACCAAGCGTAGCACGCCACCCTCGTGATGGTGGAGAACAAGCCTCGAGAGAGAATTCCAAATTCAAAGATTCAGAAAAGCCAACGCGCCTCAACGCTGATCACCCAAGCACCTGAGAAGAGGCAAAGGATAGAGGAATGGTTTACACCTCTCCGAACTACCTTGGCTCGGCTCTTCCAAGAGAATAAGATGAAGTTCACAGCCCCGCAGCCAATGAAATAACCCTTGGAGCAGAAGGACAAAAGCAAGCATTGCGCTTATCACTGAGATTATGGGTATTCAACCAGTGATTGCAGATCCTTTAGGCGATAAGTGGAAAATATGATAGCCCGAGGAGAGTTGGCAGACTACCTCATAACAAAGGAGTATGTGAAGCCCCGCGAGGTCTATCCTCGCAAGGTAGCAGGAACTCAGGTAAAGGTAATTCACGCAATACATGGCAGATCTGAAGATGATCAAGAGTCTGAGGTGATATACAGATCCAGATTGAAGGCAACCCATAAGCTCAGGAAGATATCCTCAGTCAATGCTATCACTTCGGGTAGTATCAGTATTAGATTCAGTGATGGCAATCTATCCATAGTTTAGCTCCCCCATGAGGATCCATTGGTTATCAGTCTTTTAGTAGCAAATTGCATGATCAATAGGGTTTTGATAGACCTAGGGAGTAGCGCCAATATCATTACAAAGACGGTCTTTGAGCAGCTAGAGATCCCGTCATCATCTATTCGACCTACCTCTAGCCCATTGATGGGGTTTAATGACACAAGAGTAGATCCCCTTGGAGAAATAGACTTATCCGTAACTGCGGCGAAGAGGACTCTGAAGGAGAACTTTGTCTTAACAGAGATCTATCCTTCTTATAATCTCATCATGGGACGAGGCTGGATACACCGGATGAGAAGAGTTCCGTCCACCCTTCATCAAGTGATACGGTGCTTGTCTCCGGACGGAAAAGAAGTGGTTAACCTATGGGGTGATCAAGTCACTGCGAAGGAATGCTATATGCTAACATAGGCTGAAGCAAAGAAGGTGTCTACACATCCTCAACCAGGTGTGACTTCCAGATATATACTCAAATAGCAATTACAGAGCCCTCTGCCCAAGTATCTTAAGGTAGAGGAGGAAGAGGAAATTGTGAAGCCTACCGAGGAGACCCTTAAAGCGGTAGAAGTTATCCTCGGCGACCCTCAGAAGGTCACTTATTTAGGCTTTTCTTCCACGTCCGAGGAAAAAGAAGCCTTAATTGATGTCATTCGAAGCAATACAGATGTTTTTGCATAGAATCACTTGGACATGGTAGAAATTGATCCTTTAGTCTCCTACCATAGCCTGAAGGTGGATCCGGAGTTCAAATCGGTTAAGCAGAAACACCGAAGGTTTACCCTCGAACGCAATTGCATTATAGCTGAAGAAGTGAATAAGTTGTTGCAAGCAGGTTTCATTCGAGAAGTGCAATATCCACAATGGCTGTCAAACGTGGTGGTCGTACAAAAGAAGAATGGAAAGTGGAGGGTTTGCGTAGACTATACCAACCTTAACAAAGCCTGCCCTAAATATAGCTTCCCTCTGCCAAAGATAGATCAGATGGTTAATGCTACTACTGGTTTTGAGAGGCTGACATTCCTTGATGCGTACTCGGGATACAATCAGATTCCTATGAACCCAAAAGATGAAGAGAAAATGGCTTTCATTACAGAAAAGGGGACTTATTGTTACAGGGTCATGCCCTTTGGGCTGAAGAACGCCGGGGCCACTTATCAACGCCTTATTAACAAGATCTTTGACAATTTATTAGGAAAGACAGTTGAAGCATACATAGATGATATGGTGGTCAAAAGTGTGAAGAAGGAAGACCATCCGAAGCACTTCCAGGAAGTTTTCAATACTCTGAAGAAGTACAACATGAAGCTGAATCCATCTAAGTGCTCCTTTGCGGTATCATCAGGTCAATTCCTAGGCCATATAGTGAATAAAAGAGGGATAGAGGTAAGCCCGGCTCAGGCTAAGGCCCTCATGCAGAATCAGGAACCAAAAAATCGTAGAGAGGTGCAAGTTCTTACCGGTCGGATCGCAGCCCTTAGCCGGTTTATATTCCGATTATCAGATAAGTGCAAACCATTCTTCGATGCCATAAGATCTAAGAATAAAGATATATAGGGACCTCAGCAGCAGGAGGCCCTCAATCATTTGAAAGGTTATATGGCCGAACCACCAATTCTATTCGCTCCAAAACCCGGAGAGGTTCTTATTATGTACTTAGCAATTTCTAGCATAGCGACAAGTGCAGCATTGATTAGAGAGGAAGGAAAGAGTCAACATCCAGTCTTCTACACAAGTAAGACAATGACAGATGCCGAGACACGGTATAGCAAAACAGAGAAAATCATCATAGCCTTAGTTTATTCCAAGAGGAAGTTTCGGCATTATTTCGAATCTCATAGCATTATGGTACTCACCAACTATCCTATACGGGGTATACTCTCTAAGCCAAATTTATCTGGGAGAATTACCAAATGGGCTATCGAGCTTAGTTCCTTCGACATAACTTATAAGCTGAAGGTGTCGCACAAGGGACAAGCCGTAGCAGATTTTCTTTTAGAATATGAGGGCACTCCCGAAGAGCCAGAACCCCCCGAACCACAGTGGGAGCTTCGGGTCGATGGCTTCTCGAATCAAACAAGTGCAGGAGTTGGGGTTGTTATATCAACACCCGAATGCACTAAGTTGTAGCAATCCATTTGCTTGAATTTCCCTGCTACGAACAATAAGGCTGAATATGAGGCGTTACTTACTGGTCTTCGATTGGCTAGCAGCCTTCAGGTACATTGTTTAAAAGTTTTTAGTGACTCACAGCTTGTTATAAATCAAGTGACAGGTCAATATCATCCCAAAGAAGAAAGGATGAAAACATATAAAGAAGCTGTGGAGAATGTTACACGAGGATTCGATCAAGTCGAATTCCACCAGGTACCTTGTGTTGAGAATGCTGAAGCAGATCAATTAGCCAAAGTAGCGTCATCCTCAAATGAAGACCTGACTCGGATTGTACCAATTGACGTACTGGACGAACCCAGCATCAACCTTCAGCAAGAAGTAATGGTGATTCCAGTCATTCCGCGAGAACCATGCTAGATTGATCCATTAGAAGCCTACCTCAAGCATGGGACTCTTCCAAACCAGAAAACTGAGGCGCGGAAGCTTAGACTCACCGCAACTAAATATGTCATCATTAACAACCAGTTATACCAGAAGTCATTTTCAGGTCCTTACCTGAAATGTTTAAGCCCTACCGAGGCTCTTGTGGTATTGAAACAAATTTATGATGAAGATTGCGGCAACCACTCTGGGGGTAGATCCCTTGCACATAAGGTTCGAACTCAAGGCTACTTCTAGCCGTACTTGGCTCGGAATGCTGAAGAGTACGCTCGGAGATGTGATAAGTGTCAGCGCCACGGTCCAATGAAGCATCAACCTGCCGAAGATTTGCATGCAATGGCAAATCCATGGCCGTTCACACAATGGGGGATTGATATGGTGGGCCCTTTACCCAAGACCGTGGAACAAAAGGAATACATGCTGCTAGCTACAGACTATTTCACAAAATGGGTGGAAGCCGAGGCTTACTCAAGTGTGACCCATGAGCAGGTAAAAATTTTCCTTCGGAACAACATCATTTGCCGGTTTTGGGTCCCAAAAGTCATTATGATGTACAATGGTAAGAACCTCGACAATAAAAGTAAAAGAAAATTCTTTGCTGAGCATGGAATTGTACAAAAGCTAGCTGCAGTCAGTCATCCACAAGGGAATGGACAGGCTGAAATAAGTAACCAAACCATTTTCAGTTGTTTAAAGAAGAAGCTGGAGAAACTTAAACAAAATGGTACGAGAATCTCCCTCAAGTGTTTTGGGTGTATCGAACCACTCCACGGCGGCCCACGGGGGAAAGTCCATTTGCCATGACTTATGGATCCGAAGCTGTGATCCCAACAGAAGCGACAGTTCCAACCCTTCGGACATTCTTGTTACTTGAAAGAAACAATGGTCAGCAGCTCGAACATAGTCTCGATCTCCTAGACGAGAAGAGGGATGCTGCAGCAATTAGGCTTGCTTCATATCAGCAACAGCTGCGCAACAGTTATAACAAAAGCGTCAGGTTCAGGAGCTTTGTGATAGGCGATTGGGTTTTGAAGCAAGAGACAGCTCATGTAAAGAAACTGGAACCTAATTGGACTGGACCCTATAGGGTTACCGAAGTAGTGGGGAAGGGAGCATATCGTTTGGCCGAAACTGACGGACGTCCCATTGCGCGTCCTTGGAATGCAATACACATTAAAAGGTATTTCCATTAGATAAGTTTGTCAATTTTGCTAGAATTCTTCACAAATAAGGCTACTTATGCCCACAGTCAGTCAAGTTTTTCTTTATATTGCTTCTATTGTATTATGTACAATTCTACTCTATTTATTTCTTTCCATAAAAATAGGGGCCATACTAATACCCTATGATTATGCGATTTTTATGCATGTTTGTATGCTAAGACGCATTATGCAATTTTTATGCAAAGCAATACTAAAATCAAGTTATTAAAAAACATCCTTCACAACGATTCTTTTTTAAACCCAAGTTATGGCCTATAGTTAAAGCTCTCTATCCCACATCGATAAAAAAATATGTTTTACATTCTGTTATATATGGGAATATTCAAATAGTTGACTGTAGTGTAAGGAGGGCCCACTGGTATTAAAGGCCGCCAAGCCCAGTACTAGAGGCATTCCTTACACTGATCTTTTTGACAAAGTTTAGTCTATGTCCCACATCGGATAGAAGTAGAAACGAAATGCGATTGATATATGCGTAATCCACTACATTTGGTCGCCAAGAAGGGAGTCTCAGTGGAAGAAAGTCTCCAAAATAAATGAATAGGAAACTTCCTAGCCATTGTTACTCACTTTCTTGGCCTCCTATCATTTTTGAATCTTCGGCCTCATGACAAGTTGTTTGAAAAAATATATATATGAAATGATGATATGATGGCTCAGCAAACCTCCCCTCAGGCTCAGCACCGGGGAGTAATCTATCCGCTTCGGACCCTAAGTGTCCGACTCAGCAAACCTCCCCTCAGGCTCAGCGCCAGGGAGTAATCTATTCGTTTCGGACCCTAAGTGTCTGGCTTAGCAAAACCTCCCCTCAGGCTCAGCGCTGAGGAGTAATCTATCCGCTTCAGACCCTAAGTGTCTGGCTCAACAAACCTCCCCTCAGGCTCAGCGCCGGGGAGTAATCTATTCGCTTTGGACCCTAAGTGTCCGGCTTAGCAAAACTTCCCCTCAGGCTCAGCGCCAGGGAGTAACCTATTCGTTTCGTACCCTAAGTGTCTGGCTCAGCAAACCTCCCCTCAGGCTCAGCGCCGAGGAGTAATCTATCCGCTTCAAACCCTAAGTGTCTGGCTCAGCAAACCTCCCCTCAGGCTCAGCGCCGGGGAGTAATCTATTCGCTTCGGCCCCTAAGTGTTCGGCTTAGCAAACCTCCCCTTAGGCTCAGCGCCGGGGAGTAACCTATTCCATTCGGACCCTAAGTGTCCGGCTCAGCAAACCTCCCCTCAGGCTCTGCGCCGGGGAGTAATTCATTCGCTTCGGGCCATAAGTATCTGGTTCAGCAAAACTTACTCTTACGCTCATACTCACTGATTCTAAGTTCGATAATATGAGCCACGAGATTGTCCTACATTGAAAAAATATAAGAAGAAACAAGTATAAACATACTTACTTCACACGAATCCATTTCAAGAAGGGTTCCCTTGACGGTTAAATCACCAAAGGAAAAAACAATCCTCTGTTATCAGGTAAACCGTTAGAGGAGACCCCTTCTTCACATCTTATTTAGTTTTGCCTCGGACTAGAACAAATGAGGAACCCTCGGGCAGGGTACTTTCCTTAAAAATAATCACATCCAACAAAGTGTGTGCAATATTAAAAGCATTCAAGCATACTCAGTCGAAGCAAAATTAAGGCGACACA